AACCCAGGACCTCACACATGCTAGGTGAGCGCCCTACCGCTGAGCCACAACTCCAGCCCCAAGAATCACCTTTTTGAAGAGACACTTATACTTATCAGTAGGTGTTTTCACTCTAGAGAGCAGATCTCCTGTGTTGGACCCCTCTGACTTAATCCTGACTCGAGGAACCTTGGATGAAGAGGATGAGGAAGCTGACAGTGATACTGATGACATTGACCACAGAGGTAAGAAGTGGCTGAGGTGGCTCATGAAAAAGAATAGCTGCATTGTTTGCTCAGGAGTTTTTCATTGTTAAGAGAGGTTGCTAGTAAAGAGGGAAAGAGGAGACAGTAACGGATGCAGTACTAGCAAAGTTTCCTATATTAAGTCTAGGAAACTTTAGCCATTCCTACTGAATGGCTAAGATAGAGCTGACTTCGTACCTTTTATTTGTGTTGTGTCTTCTTATCCTTATGTCCTAATTCAGTTTGAAGAATTCAGGATTTTGGCTAGGATTGTGGCTCAGTGGTACAGTGTTCGCCTAGCATGCATGAGGCACTGTGTTCTTTCCTCGGCACCACATAAAATTAAAATAAAGAGGGCTGGGGTTGTAGCTCAGTGGTAGAGTGCTTGCCTTGCAGGTGGAAGGCACTGGGTTCAATCCTCAGTACCACATAAAAATAAAATAAAGGTATTGTGTCCATCTACAACTAAAAAATATTTTTAAAAAAGATATTGTGTCCACCTAAAACTAAAAAATAAATATTTAAAAAATAAACAAATTCAGGATTCCTTTTGGTTGCTATTAGTTTCTTTTGTTTGTGGTGGAAACCAGGACTTTGTACATTCTAAGCACCCACCGTACTATATACCCAGCCCCACGTTTTAAGAATACATAAGGAAGTCTTAGCAGAGACCTGAACAGTCAAAAGTACTCTTAACAGTGAGCATAGAATGGGTCTAGAAGCCCAGTTCCACTTGGTATAGTTTTTAGGATTGTTGCAGGATATAATTTGTTAAACAGCTCCAGGATGTAGGTCCTAGCTCCGACAAAGAGCAAACCTTTTTACTCTCAAACTGGGAGCTAACATGAACACTGCTTTATTAAATCGGATTTATTGAGATGGAACTTACAACCAGTAAAACTAATCCCTTTAAGTATATAGTTTGATGAGTTTTAGCAAACATTTGTCATTACTATGATAATTAAGATACAGAGCACTTTTCTCTCCCCCAAAAGTCTTCTCATGGCCCCTTATATTTAGTCTCCTTCCCGAATACCTAGTTCCTGGCAACCACTGGCTAATTTCTGTTCCTATAATTTTCTTTTCCAGAACATTACATAAATGGAATCACAATAGTCAGTCTTTTGCAATAAATTTTTTCCACTCAGCATAATAAATTTGTGATCTTTTCATAATGCTGCATATATCAGTACAGCAGTATGTTCTTTATTTTATATATATTTTTTGATACCAGGAATTGAACCCAGGGGTGCTTAACCATTGAGCCTCATCCCCAGCCCTATTTTGTATTTTATTTTGAGATAGGGTTCACTGATTTGCTGAGTGCCTCACAAAGTTGCTGAGCTTTGAACTCTCAGTCCTCCTGTGCTGCTGGGATTATAGGCATGTGCCACTGCACCCGGCTATATTTGTTTATTTATTTTGCTGAGAAATATTCCATTACTTGAATTTACTACCATTTGTTTATCCATTTGGGCCAACTGGAGCTATTATGAGGTAAAGCTGCTATAAATATTTTGCCACTAAGTGTGGTAGTGAACACTGGTAATCTCAACAATTCAGGAGGCTGAAGCAGAAGGATCCCAAGTTTGACGTTAGCCTCAGCAATTTAGCGAGATCCTCAGAAACTTAACCCTCTCTCAAAAATAAAAAATAAAAAGGACTGTAGGTGTAGCTCAGCTCAGTGGCAAAGTGGATTCAATCCTTAGTATCAAAAAGAAAAACAAAACCAACCAACCAAACAAAACAAAACACCATTTTACAAATAGTGTTATGTGGACATGAAATACCTATGAAGTGAGAGACTTCATTTAGCCACTAATATATAAGGGAGCTCTTTTCCCTTCCCTCCTTATACTGAAGCTATACATTTTGGCAACATGGTAAGTAGAGCATGCTTCTGGGAGACATTTTCTTATTGTGAGAAGCGAGCACCTTAGTTTCTTAGAAATGAAGTATTGTTTTTAATGGGTAGGTGACAGGAGCTCTGATCCACTAATCTACTCAGAGTTTTAAAAGAATCATCCTTCTTTTTCCCTTGCAGTTACAGAGGAAAGTCACGAAGAGCCAGCATTTCAGAATTTTATGCAAGAATCAATGGCACAGTACTGGAAGAGAAACAACAAATAGGAGATTTTAGGAAATTTCAGTTGATTCTAGAAGTCCCAGATTCTGGGACTCCATATGAAGAAACTATTCTTATCGCTGATTCAGGACTAGGATGAAGAACAATTTTCTTCAGAATAGCAGAATTTTTCTTTTGAGAGAATCTTATGACTCAGAAGAAGTCAGGGAGATGATTCTTGGAGCTGGCACGTAGATATGTCAAGTCTGCCTTGGCCTTTCACTTACATTTATGCAAGGAAGGATATACTGACTGCTTTTGGAAGCTGACATGCCTTCAAGCCTAAGTTTTATCATTTGAACTTACATACTTCTGCTGGTGATAGAATACAGAGAGAACTTATCCTGGCAATCACTTTAGATCTTAGCCTCTACTTCCCCAGCACCATGTCCTCAACTTATAACCTGAGTTGTTCTTTTAGTAGAAAGGGAGAGGGACACATAAGCTTGTCCAGGGTAGCAGTGGAGTCTTCTTGGCAAGTCAGTGTTGTTATGAAATATGTCTCACACTAGTAGCTCATTAGAGGACACCAAGTTTGTTGAAAATGGGTAGAACGTAAGATTTCTGAATAAGAATTCTCTTAAATGGTAACTTGGATAGAGTTTCTAATTATAACTTTATTCTAAGCCTGCCTGCCTGTCATGATTTCAAATTAGAAAATTGTATAGTAACAAATAGATTCCCTTGTAATTAAGGCTTAAATTCACATGTCTAAACCTGCCTGTTAAGGGGGTGATATTTACTGAAGCTTCCCACATATGCATAAGTGGAAACCAGGTACAGAGTCAGGCCCTGTTTGTATTGACTTTGAAGTTAATGCAGAGTATCCTTGGAGACTTATTGAAAGGCTATAGACTTTAGTCAGGTGCACATTCCATGCATAACAACCATTATAAGGGTTTGGCTGCTGACTCATTGGTTCTCAAGAGCACAGTCTCTGGACCACAAGCATCAGAATCACTTGGGAAATTGTTAAAGGCATCTCAAAACCTACTGAATTTGAAGCTCTGGGAGTGGGGCCCAGCAACTTGTTAATAAGCCCTCCAAGTGATTCTGATGTACATGAGTTTGAGAAACACCTCTCCAATTCAAACAGCCTGTGGTAATTTCAGGCTGGGTGAATCAGGTACCATCTTCATATGATTTACTTTATCAAAGTAGCCTAATTTAAACAATAAACCAACAAAAGTTATCTTACCATTAACTACTAAATTTAACTACTAAATTTCAATATTCTGTTCTTAGCAGGAACCATTGGTCTAAAAATTTGACTGGTTCTTTCAGGGGAAACCATTAATAATAAAACAGTCTTGATTTTTCTCTGTAGTGCCTTTGATCACATTTTCTTCCTTAAAAACTAACCTGTTTCCTTTAGGCTGTCAGCTCTATAAAGGCAAGGACTGTCTTAATCATCTTTGTATCCCTTGCATAAGACCAACATATAACAGGTGCTCAATAAATGTTTGCTAAATGAATGAATCAAGTACCCAGATGGCAATGTGATTAATAAACAAGGGGAAATGAAGTTAAGACTAGAACAGGAAGGCTTTAGTTGAGTGTACTGACTTATAATTAGCAATAACTTATAAATTATTTAACAGTTAAAATATAACCACATTTTCTTGGCATTCACATCTTATTCTCTGCCTGGGACACTTAAGGCACTTAATATACTAATGAAAGCTGTATCTTAATTTTGGTCTCTTAAAGGAGTGGTCTAAATTTTATAAGATTTGTGTTCTGCATTAGATAACCAAAGCAGTTTATTTAACATGCTGGTATCCATGACCAAATTATTTGCTTTTATTCCTAATCACTTCATTGCTACATCATTGATAAATATGGGTTGAGACAGCAACCATATGTGTTGGATGAGTAATATCAGTAAAGTTCAGATTTGATGTGAAGTTGAAAGGTATATATTATTTTTTTTCAAGGCTGCCCATCTTTATTAGCAGAAGCACAATGCGTAAGTTTGGAACTCTGGCAGTGCAATGGACCACTGATGACCAAGCAGATAGAACAAAGGAAATAGGCAAAGTCAATCCTATTCAGCCAAGTTTGCTTCATTCACAAAGGAGAAAATGAAAGGAACAACTGGAAAATAAATGGTGAAAATACTGGGCTGGGTGATGAGAGCCACAGCCGAAGGGGCCCCAGCAAACTTCCAGCTGCCAGCTGATGATTGGCTCACAGCAGCCCCAGCAAACTTCTAGCTGCCAGCTGATTGGCTCCTCTGCAGTGATGCTCATTGGGCTGTTTCCCCGCCCTTTCAGACCAGGGAGCTGCTCATTGGGGGACTTTTTTTTGGTTCCGCCCATGCAACCCAGCCAATCGGCCTCAAGCGCAGGAGGAGTGGGGGGGTGGGCATTGAGAGGCTTGTGGGAAGCCCACGGTGGCGGTTGGGCTCTGAGGGAATTCCTGAAGAGCTCATGTGGTCTGGTGTGTGTTCTAAAAATAAAGTTAGTTTCTGCTTGATAAGTGGCTCGTGAATTGTACCCAGCCATAAAATAAAGGTATTTAACAACTAAAAAATATATATAAAAAAAAGTCTTGAGTCAGTAGAAATATCAAAATAAAGGCAAAAAGGATGAGAATCGATGGAATAGGCAGGTGAGATGATAGGGCTATTTGAATAAATTAAAACGCTGTTACATTACCACAGACCTCTGATTTTATAAAAGACTTCATAGACAGCAAAATCACTTTACAAAGATTAATGATAGATAAGTTTTGCTGTGTTTAGTTTCCTATAAGGAATTGGTACTGGATTCCCAATGACTTGAATCAAAAGAAAAAGTGACATCTGATATTGGCATATATTCCTGAGTCTATCCAAGTACAGTGTAATAAACATCTCAGTATTCCTCTGTGCAAGGTAGGTCAAAGTGGTATGAGTCTTCTCAACTGTGCAATAGAAATGGCTGCAGAGAAGCTAAGAAACATGTAGTTACATAGTAAAGACAACAATCGGGGTCAGACTTGATATATATTACCATTGTGATCCATGTGTGGCTTTGTTGTTGACGAAAACTATAAAACATGGTACCAAAATAAAATGCAACCTTTTTTTTTTTGGTGAAATCCTGTTTCTCTGAAATGAGAAAAACCCACTGTGTTTAAGAATCAAATCACTGTTTATAGAAACAAATTAGACTACATCAAGGTTTTCTGTTGGATGTTGTATGACTGGACTGAAATGTCCCTCTTTCACTTTTATATTTTCCTCATCCTCTTCTTGCAGTGCTGGTTGAAAACAGGGGAGGACCCCATGAGGCTGTCAGTGGAGTGGGAACCATAGCTGCTGTCTGAGTCATCAGGGCTCTGAGGTATTCCAGCTTCACTCATGCCTGACATGGGCTCCTCAAAGACATCACTGCCCAATACACCATGGCCAGAGACATTGCCTTCTTCACTCTCTTGGGGCTCCATTTTCACATGAGCCAGGTTCCAAAGAGGAGAGGCATTTACCTCTGCACCTAGAAATGTAGGCAAAAAACACACACCTAGTGGTAAGCCACCAAACAAAGGAGAATGAATATCCCACCAAGGGTCCACTAATGTACTTTGAGCTCAGTTTTTTCACTCTAATTGTGTACTTGGCTGGAGAATGTGGTTGTTATTCTCTGCTTCAAAATGTCAAAAATATCTTCCTTTCTTATTCTTCTACCTTACCTTTATCTAACCTACTTGCATTTTTCCCCAAACCAAGGAAGTAAAACAATACAGGTGGAACAATCCCCTGCCTTGTCTCAGTGGCACGAAGGCAGACCTTGTTCAGTTCATTACTTTCCCTGTCCTTCCTTCCTTCCTTTTATGGGGCTGTCTTATGCCTCTTCCTTTTGTTTGGGTGCCTCTGATGCTCTCTAAGACTATGAAAACTTATTGATAACTACAAAATGCTGAAAGCAGTTCCCTTCCTCTTTCCACTGACAAGAGACATGCTCCCTGTGTCTTTGCCTGTCTCCCACCCCATGTATTCCAGCAATGCTGTTCTGTGATCATTACTTCTTCTATGGTGAAAGGCTCTCTTCCCTATATTTTCATGCTTGTATGTTTGTTTTTATTTTGTGGTACTGGGGATTGAACCCAAGGGCACTCTACTACTGAGTTACATCCTCAGCCCCCCCCCCCCCTTTTTTTGAGTCAGGTTTCACTAAGTTGCTGAAGCTGGCCTTAAATTTGTAATCCTCCTGCCCCAGCCTCCTGAGTTGCTGGGATTATAGTTGTGTGCTAGTGTGCCCAGCTATTCCTGACACTTCCAACCAAAAGTATGGTCTTAATTCTATTTGGGCCACATTTGAGGATTTGTTATTTGAGTCAGTTGAGCATTGATAAAGTGACTGTATTTGTAAATAACTGAATGCCTAGATTAATTTCCAATTTAACTGACTCAAGTTATGGTACTTAAGGTAATCATAGCATTTATTTGGAAGAAGAGGCCATCTGCCTCTAGCTTGGTAGCCCTGTTTCAATCTCCAATTTCTTGGAGTATTCTAGCAAGGAAACTCAAGTTTATCCATCTATCTGGCAGCCTCCTGATTCATAATTACAAGCATCAAGAAGGACTAACACAGAAGACTAAAGAAGGGATATCTACCCAATCAGTAGGATCAGCTAAATCCACCTTGGTCAACAGGACAACACACATTGCATCCATACTCTAACTGGATGGATTTTTTAAATTTTGGTTTTGATGTTGAGGATTGAACCCAGGGGCACTTTACCATAGTTACATCTCCAACCCTTTTTGAGTTGGGGTCTTGCTAAGTTGCCAAGACTGATCTTGAACTTGTAACCTGTCTTTGGGATTATGGATGTGCACCACTGTGCCCACCCTTGAGATTATTTTATAGAATACCTATAAAGTTGTGCTAGTCCTCTGCTCACTAATTAGAAGAATTTTGCTATCTCTAGATCACTGAAGCTATATTTGTTTTAGGACTTTCCATTCTGCTCACTCCTATTTTTGTTCTCCCACCTGATTCCAAAATGCCACTAAGTTCTCAGATTGGCAGATCTCCTAGAATCAAAATGAGTATGTTGATTTCTCTTACTTGAAGCCTGTGGGGAAGCTTCCACTTCCAGATTAGATGGGAAGCGCTCACTCTGAGCCCCGAGGACTCCCATGGGCAGGGACTGGTCTCCAGAAGCAAGGTCAGCCTCCAGTTCCTCACTGACAGGAAAGGTGATGTCACTCACAGGTTCCTCCTTGATCTTCACGGGTTTAGTGTCCTCTGTGGCCTTCTCAGGATTGACAATCCTTTCATATTCTTCAGAGAGTTGCTTACTAATCTGTTGGCAAGCAAGAGTTAATTTTCCAAGGATATGTTAGAAGCAAGTTGGAGAGTCAACTTGCAGCATCCCATGGAAAAGCCAACAGAATATGAGTTAACAGATGAGATTTAAATTTCCGCTGCTAGGCTGGGCATGCAGCTCAGTTGGTAGAATGTGCAAGGTTCTGGATTCAGTCTCTAGCAGAGTATAACAGTTAACAACAAAACAATTTCCACTGTCAATGGAGGGAATCTATTTAAAATAGTAAGTTCCAATTTATGTGGCAAAGATGTATGTAGAAAATTTGTCAGAAAATTGTGTATCATTAAATGGAAGTTATATAAAAGCAAAACACTAAACAGACTGTTTTACAGGTAAATCAGAACTAGGATAAAAGATTACATTTTTGTCTACAAAAACTAACAATTGACACTTATACTCTGGGTAGATAGTGAACAATGTGGGAAATCTGTATTGCTTAGCTAAGTCTGTTGATTAGTGTTAATAATTAACAATTAAATTTTAGATTTGGGGAAACTTGAAACAATGCTTAAGGCTCTAGGGGTTGGAGAAATATCTGTAGTCTAATAAAAACTGGTGCCCCCATTCTGAGGGCAATATCACCTCACCCTGTCTTGTTTTTCATAGCACTTAATGTTACTGAAATCATTAGTTTTTTGTTTACCTGCCAGATTCAGGAACTTGTTAACTGCCATATTCCACAATGTCTGACTCACAATAACTTCAAGAAATTTTTGTTGAATAAAAAAATGCTAACCACATTCTCTCAGACTCCATATCCTTGTGTATAACTTCTTCCAGAGGAATTATCAATGAACAGGGCCATCCTTGATTTAAGGAGGCTGCTGGTACCTGCCAGGTCAGTGATGAGGCCAATGGAACACAGTGAGGGCCATGAGAACAGTGTAAGTTCACTGTTCCCAGATCCTGTGCTCTATACTCCAGAGCAAATATTGTGGGATCCTGCTGAACACCCCTAAGCTGGACCTCTATGCCCACTTCTCCACCATGTCACCTCACCTGTAGCATATAACTGTGATAGTCCTTGATGCGGTGTTGCCAGAACTTCTGGAGGGAGAGTACACTGCCAATACCCACTTCATGGAATACCTGCTCCATAACATCAGGGAAAGGAGTGTGTCCCAGCCGGGCTTCCCGATCCACAGCAAAGCGCAGCAACTTGGTGAACTTAAGGCAATACTCATGTGCCACATCAGTTAGTGTTTCCAGGACACTTTCATTAGCACATTCAAAGCCTGCATGAGCCAGGATTGTAGCCACTGCCTGGTAGAGGAGCTGCCGACAGGACTGCCAGCTGAGTTCAGTCACAGGTTCCCCTTTCCCACTGAAAGTGAAGACACAGTAGTGTTACAAGTGACCTATCCTGTTTTCCTGGAGGTTTTACAATTCTAGTCCAGTCACTAGCCTACATTTCCAAGGAAATTCCATCTAGGTATGCAGCTCAGTTTCATCCTGCTCTCAGGGCATGTCTCAGCAACCCTATTACAAAGTTTGAACAGGGAATACACGTTTATGATAAGCAGTTCAAAGGTTATCTAGTAAAAATGAAGCTTCTTCTCCTACCAACTGCTCAATTTTGATCACTTCTAAGATTCATTTTAATAGTACAGTTCAGATACTGCTCCATGAAACTCCAATTATTTCACCACAACGTTAGTTTCCTGGGTAATATTTGTTTTTGTTTTTGTACTGGGGATTGAACTCAGGGATACTTGACCACTGAGTCATATCCCAGCCCTATTTTGTAATTTTAGAGACAGGGTCTCACTGAGTTGCTTAGTGCCTCACCATTGCTGAGGCTGGCTTTGAAATCACGATCCTCCTGTCTTAGCCTCTCAAGCCACTGGGATTATAGGCGAGTGCCACCACACCTGGACGTTCTGGGTAATATCTGAACTTTCAGAAGTGCATAGTTCCAATTAGAAGATTCTTAAACAATTATAAGAGAAGCTCTTTAACTGAGATGTCAAATCAATTTTATAAAACCAATTTAATACACACATACCTAAAAAACGTTTTCAACCTATCCTATGCTATGAAATGGGTAGGGTCCATATTATTACATTCCTATTTGTCAAGTACGGAAACTAAAGTCAGAGAGGATGACTTGCTAGAGGTTGTTTAGGTATTGTTACTAAAATAGTGGAGCTTCTGATTCCAGATCCCATATTCTTCATATATTTGCCCCTAACCATTATGGCAAAAATGTTAATTTTTTCCCCCCAAAAAAGCTGTCTACTTGACTAAAAATAACTTTTAACAAGCTTTTAATAAGTTACTGACCCCGAAATTTCCCATCTTGCTTCTGTCCCTCTTTGACAAAGGAATTTTTTGTATAAATAAAAATAAAACACAGCATAAAAAACCATTAGTTCTTTGTCCATACCTGGCATATGTACATTGTGCCTGAAATATCCATTTTACTATTTTCTCTCTAGTAGCAACTACTGCAATTCACATAATAGTTTTTTTTTTTTTTTTGCGGTGCTGGGGATTGAACCTAGGGCCTTGTGCATGCAAGGTAAGCACTCTACCAACTGAGCTATATCCCTAGTCCTCATAAAATAGTTAAAAAATATAAGACAACCAATGGCCAAGTAACCCATTTAATATTTCCATTATCATCCCCATAACCAGGCTAAAAACCTCAGGAATGACTAAAAAACAGCTAGACCAGTATCACTTTACTTGATGTACTTGATTTACATGAACTTTTTTCAATAGAAAAAAATTGGCACCCTATAGCTGATGCAAATTATTTTTGTTATATAGTTTTTTCAAATATGCATAAAACAAAAATAAGTATAAACTTTTAACAATTACAATTCTCATTAACGATTAAAATAGAAATTTGACACACAACTACAAGAGTAATGGTGCACACCTGTAATCCCAGCTACTGGGGAGGCTGAGGCAGGAATATGGCCGGTTTGAGGCCAGACTCAGTAACTTAGTGAAACCCTGTCTCAAAATAAAAACTTAAAATGGCTGGGGATGTTGTTCAGTGGGAAAGCATCACTGGGTTCAATTCCTAGGACAAAAACTAACACCCCCCCCCCCAAAAAAAAAACCCAAAACCAATAACAACAACAACAAAACTCTACAAAATTATAAATGAAAGCATCAATTTAATATGATGGTCAAGTAGAAACTACATTGCCTTCAAAATGTGAATTTGGTACTGATTGCTACATAGCAGGTTTTTTGATAGTATTCATGTTAGTTTGTGCCATATATGGAATAACACAGTTATCCCCCTCCCACTTTCACTATCCAGTGATGACTGGCATATGTACATTGTGCCTGAAATATCCATTTTATTATTTTCTCTCTAGTAGCAACTACTGCAATTCACATAATAGTTTTTTTTTGTGGTGCTGGGGATTGACAGAACCTTTAATTACACAATGTGTTTTGCCATCATATGGCCTGACTGCAATCCTTACATATTTATTTCTGTTTTTTTTTCTCATTAGTTTGGGACAGTTAAAATAGTAAGTATTGGGCTAGGGTTGTGGCTCAGCAGTATCGCGCTCACCTAGCACGTGCAAGGTCCTAGGTTCGATTCTCAGTTGAAGTAAACAAAATAAAGGCATTGTGTCCAACTACATCTAAAAAATTAAAAAAATAAATAAAATCCCCCCTCTTCTTCCTGATGGGGAGAGTCACAGCCTTTGGGACAGGAGTCCCCTGTCCCACTGACCCAAAGGGGACTGTTTCTCCTTAGCTAGCAAAGCAATAAACCTTTAAAAAAAAAATAGTAACTATTGAGCTGGAGTTGTAGCTCAGTGGTAGAGTGCTTGCTTAGCACATGTGAGGCCCTGAATTCAGTCCTCAGTACCACATAAAAATAAAGAAAGAAAATAAAGGTATTGTGTCCATCTACAACTAAAACATATATTTTTTAAAAAAAACAGTAACTATCATCACGAATAGGCATATGTAATAAATGATATATGTAATATTCTTGTCAAACATCTTTAACCTGAATTCAAACTTGAGGATATAACCAGCAAATCCAGTAAAGAGGACATTCTACAAGACCAATGACCTGAACCTGTAAAGATAGTAAAGAGCATAAAAATCATATGCAATGCATGAATCTTTGAATTGGGGAAAATATATCTATAAAAGATATTTTGGAGACAACAGGAGAAATCTAAATCCGGACTTTTGAAACAACATTATTTAATATTTATTTACTTTGGTGTGGTGATAGTATTGTGCTTATGTAGGAATATTCCTTTATTCTTAGGATATGCATGCTAAAGAATTCAGGGGTGAAATTATTGTGACATGTAAAACTTTAAAACGTTTGGCATAAGCAGTATGTGTATGTGCATAACATGTATTTATTGTGTGTACATGTGTGTATACAAATGTATACATACATAATGTGAGAAACTTAATATAGTAAAATATTAATCATTGTTGAACGTAGGGAAAGAGTATTTGGATGTTTGTTGTACTACTATTTGAACTTTCCATAGGATTGACAAATTTAAAATGAAAAAGAAAAAAATTTGAAATGAAAAGAAAAAATGTAACTGGCATTCTGAAATCTAGTAGTAATGCTAGATTACAAAGCAGTCATTCAGAGGATCTGGACCAGAACTTCTCAAACTTAAATGCCTATATCAATCTCATGAGAATCTTGTTAAAACTGCAGATTCTAAAAAAAAAAAGAAAAAAAAAACCAAAAAACTGCAGATTCTGATTCAGTAGATCTGGGTGGGATCTGAGCTTCTGCATTTCTAAAAAGCTCCCAGGTGATGCTGATGCTCCTGGTCTTGGACCAGATTTTGAGTAATAAAGATCAAACATTTTGGCATTATCGTTTCTTAAACAATGTTATCAAAATGAAAATACACAATTTAAAAATTCTTCTATAGACTTGCAGATTCCTAATAATACGAGAATAAGTCCATAAAATCCAATTTGAAGCTAAACCCATAATATTCATTTTATATTAAATAAACTAGACTCTGAAGTCTACAAGGCCAGGGCCCTTTCTACATACCAGTGTATTATCTTGCTCTTAGTAAAGCGCTTGGCACATAGTAGGCACTCAATAAATTTCTGTTGCGTCGGAAAGTCTGTAACTACAGACTCTGGATTCTGAAGATACAGGTTCAAGGTAGACACTTCTCACTAATTGGAGGAGCAACCTTGGCCAAATCAATCACTCTTATCCTCAGTTTCTTCATGTAGAAATGGAAATTCTATTATAGGCTTAACAGCATTGCTGGGAAGATTACTTGAGAAAAATAAGATACAGCAAAGTTTTGCCTTACCGATAAAAGTCACTCTCTGGGTCACTGTGCCGGATCTGGAATGGTGCATTGGGATTCTTACAATCTAAAGGTAGGAGATCATCAGGTAGAGGAGGTGACCCAGGGCAGGAGGGAAGAGGTTCACTCTCCTCAGTCTTTACACCTTCCATCTGCTGTTGATTCTGGGCTTGAGCAGCAGCAATAAGGTTGCGAAGACGTCGGTTATGTTGGATCAACTGAATGGTATGGATGGTGAGGCTGCATGGCTCTGAGGGGATGTCTAACATAGTGGGGGGCTTGGGTTTGTTGGCTGAGGGTTGGTGCAGGGGTGGGTCATGTACTTCTACCAGACGGAACTCCCGTGGGAGCAGATCAAAGGAACTTCTGTTGGTCTGGCTTGAGGACATTGGTATCTCTCCCCAGTATCTCAACATTTTTGGAATAAGATGGGAAGAGCTCTCAGGTTTAATGTAGAAGCTATCCTAAAAATAATGTTTAAATCTCTGGCAACTGTAGGTTATAGGCTTCTATAGTGAAAGATATGAAGTCTAGCCAATTATTTACATAAAAAGCAAGTTAAGAACACTTCAAAAAATGTCAGTATTGGCAAAACTGTAGGACCAAAGATGTTCTCCCTGGAGAAATGAAGAGAAATAAAACCATTAGATGTAGACAAAAGACAATTCCTACTAGACTGAACCACAAGGTAGAATCTGAGTTATTAGTAAATTAAGAGCTGCAATGGTGTCTGGGACTTAGTAACCATGTTTTCTATTTCATTTCACTAACTCATTACCAGAACTACCATCATGACAAATTCTAAACAATTTGCAAGGCATGATACTTAAATATGAAACCTGGAGTATTTCTCAGAACATTTTTGACACGCTAGATCAATAGGAGGAAGGAAGTAGTAGGAGGGGTTCTTTTTGTGTGTGTTAAGCATGGTAACATTTAACTGATCCTTGTGGGAAACTCTGTGAACATCTAATCTAGTCTCATGCTTTCAACTTTTGACATATCTAGGGAAGAATGTAAGATCTCTCTGCTTCTCATTGATATCCCTTACTCTGGTCTCTCTTTGTATTTAATAATCACACTGCAGCTAGAAAATCTTTTAAAAACTCAAATTTAATGACTTCCCATTGCCCACTGGAAAAAGTCAGAATTTTTTTGGCTTACCAATCAGCAAAATTCACAATCTGGTTTCAACCCACCTTTCTAGATTCATTGCCCATACGTCTCTTCAAGTTTAACAAATATTTATTGAATGTCAGGCATTATGTGAGGAAATGAAGACCAATAGTGCAAGTTCTCTGTCCTGAAATGAGAGAGAGAGGAACAAAATGATTGTGTTAAGTACTGTTCTAAAGACATAGACCTGTTACAGTAGAAGCCAAAAGAAGGAGCTCCCTGAACTAAATGGCCACTTTAATTCTAACAATATCATACTACTCAGTTTTTTTTGAAAACGCTAGGCATTCCCACAGTTTTGACCCTTTAAACTGTGATCTCTCGCAGAAATGCTCTGCCACACAGAATACAAGTCCCTAGCAGACTTGTATTCACCCATTAAGTTACCACCTTCCATCACTTCCCCAATACATATCCCTAATACATATGCTAATGTTCATTGCATGCCTCTATCACAGCCTTTATCCCTTAATTTTAATCTGTATTTAATCAAATTTGTTCTCCCACGTATGGGAGATTATGGCTATAATTTGGGTACAGTGTCTGGCATTTATTGATACCTTATTATGTGCTGGACTTCACCTTTATTATTTACTTCAATTCTCCCTAGAACTCTACAAAGTAAATGCAAATATCCCCATTTTTCAGATGCGGAAGTTGAGGCGGAGTCTTGTGCAATGTCACAAATACGGAAGGTGAAAGATCAAGACAGTCTCCAGAGTCGGCACTCAACCACTGAACTATGCTATCTCAATAATTCATTTCGGAAAGGAAAAAAATGAATAAACGAAACAACCACCACCAAAAATCACCCTCTTCCCTAACGTCACCGAAAAAACTAGGAAGGACAGGTACCGAACCTAAGGAATGCCCAAGTTCCTCCGGGGGGGCTCCTCGGTCACCGTCAGCAGGCGCAGGCGCCAATCACAGGATCCGGGGGACGCCTGACGAGAGGGCCGCCGGGAGATGGGCAGGTGGGGGTCTGAGCCCAGACGAAGAGAAGCCACAATTCACTGTCGTGTTCCAGGAGCCGGCTGGGTGCCTGTCCGACTCCGAGAGGTTGAGCGAGGGTCGGGTCAGGTCCGGAAAACTGATTTGTTGCTTAGCGGTCCAACACTGTGCCGGAAGTGCTTCTATCCTATCAGGCTATGCCACAGGAAGTCATTACAATCCTGTTGCAACCTCTAAAGATGTCCCCATTCTGTAAGGCACTACGACAGCCTTTTCCTGTCATTATGACCTGCCTGGGCCACGCACCCCTTTACAAAGCTCTGGGACTTGACGGAGCAACCGAATCATCCCTGCCCAGAGAAACCGCTTCGAGTTGGGACGAGGGCGACACGGTCAGGAACGTAGAGAGCGAAGGGTGAGGATTCCTAGGAACATATTTCGACATCGCACTCGGTTAAGGATGGCAGATATTCCCTCTCTGTCAGAGCCTCCAGTGTCGCTAGAACTGAGTGGCGACTTTAAAAAGCCAGCCCTGCCGGCGACCCCAGCAGTGCGGAGTAAGGCTCCGACCGCCAGTCCCGCAAACCCTGAGGAGGTGAAGAAGGAATGGCCCACGGAGCCGCGGGACTCTGACTCTACGGAGCCCGACGTTCCGCCTCGGCGGGACAGCGGAGAGACTAGGAGTGGAGAGACTAGGAGTGGAGAGACTAGGAGTGTCCAGGAAGAGCAGCTGCGTCCCCCCACCGCGGTTTCCTCCCCTGGCGGCCCGGCTCGAGCTCCGCGGTACCGAGAGCCGCCGTGGGGCAGCCCAGCCACGGCCCCCTATAGCCTAGAGACCCTGAAGGGCGGCACCATCCTGGGCACCCGTAGCTTAAAAGGGACAAGTTGCTACCTTTTTGGGAGGCTGTCTAGCTGCGACATGTGCCTGGAGCACCCTTCGGTGTCTCGGTACCACGCGGTGCTCCAACACAGGGCGTCCGACCCGGACGGAGAATGCGACGGCCACGAGCAGGGCTTCTACCTCTACGACCTGGGAAGTACCCATGGCACGTTCCTCAACAAAACTCGAATCCCTCCCCGCACCTATTGTCGAGTCCATGTCGGGCACGTTTTCCGCTTTGGTGGTAGCACCCGGCTCTTTATCCTGCAGGTAAGTAGAAAAACCTAAAATTGAAATCTCGAGTCTTCACCATGCTGGAATCTTGAGCTTCGTAAGCTTTGGTTGAGGAAGGGTATTCTCCCAGTCAGCAGTGACAAAAGTGGAGAAATCAGTCTGCATCCTTATTTCCGGACCTTTCAACTTACTGCCTTATTTCTGAAAGTAACTCATTCTTGAACTCTAAAAGTTTGTTTTGTTTTTGTTTCGGTGTGGTTCATCAGGGACCAGAAGAAGACCGAGAGGCAGAATCCGAGTTAACAGTAACACAGTTGAAGGAACTGCGCAAGCAGCAACAGATGTTGTTGGAGAAGAAGATGCTAGGAGAAGATTCAGATGAAGAAGAGGAAATGGATAACACGGAAAGGAAGAGGAATACTAGTAACCAAGATGATGAGATGGGTTGTACCTGGGGAATGGGTAAGAAATTAAAATTGCTGCCTGAGGTTAATATTTTGAGTTACTAGTGGTGCAAATTTAATTTTTTTTTTATATATATGACTTTTCATTACTCCTTGAACTAGGACAATTTGCACACCAGGTACCCAAATTCCAGAGAGTCATTACATTTACTGATGTTAAAAAGGATTTAAATCAAAGACACTAGGATGTATATATACACACCCCTCCTCCTGCCCCACTCCCTTTCTGGGAATTGAACCCAGGTGCACCAAGCTATATTCCCAACCCCCCCCTCCACCCTTTTTTTTTTTTTTTTTTGGTGTTGGGGATTGAACTCAGGGGCACTCCACCACTGAGCCACATCCCCAGCCCTATTTTGTATTTTATTTAGAGGCAGGGTCTCTCTGAGTTGCTTAGAACCTCTCCATTGCTGAGGCTGCCTTTGAACTCATGATCCTCCTGTCTCAGCATCCCGAGTGGCTGGGATAGCAGGTAGGTGTGGTGACCCCTTTTTATTTTTAGATAGGCCACTTGTTTGGAATCCTCCTGCCTCAGCCTCTCTGAGTAGCTGAGATTACAGACATGTCCCACTGCACCCTGCTTCTGTGGCTATTTTAAAAATGTGGTTTTTTTTATACATCTTTTTTTTTTTTTTAATTTTTATGTGATGCTAAGGATCAAACCCAGTGCCCTGCGCATGCCAGTTGAGCACATTACTGCTTGAGCCACATCCCCAGACCCTGAAAATGTGTTTTTAATTCACTTTATGTTTGAAACTTCCAGAGCATACAGTTATGCTCAGGTGAAAATTACATTTTTCACCATTTAAAGATATATATTAAGTGGGCTAGAGTTGTGGCTTAATGGTAAAGCACTTGCCTGGAATGTGTGAGGCCCTGGGTTTGAGCCTCAGCACCACATATAAATAAGTAAAATAAAATGAAGGATCCATTGACCAACAAAAAATATTTAAAAAGAAAAAAAGATATATATATTAATTACTGACCTCATTGCTATTCAATTATCACTGGAAGAGGTGTAACTACATTCAATCAAATAAAATAGAATGTTATTCAATGTAGAATATTCTCTTGAATTTTTATAGTTTGTTAAAATACCCCAAAAGGTAAACCATCATTAGAGAAAGCTGGTCCCTTAGCCAAAGGAATGAATTGAATTTCCCACAAACACTGTCATTTTAGAGGATGGATATTCAGACAATAGGACTATAAAAAAAAGAGAATATGTCCTTAACGTGTAGGACGGAGCACAGGGTAAATATTCTGAAATTATTTGTGCTAAGTGCCAAAGTTAGGAATCACTAAGGGAGCAGTTACTGAGACTTCCATATACCTTTGCTATCTAGCATGGTAGCTACTACCATATGTGGCTGCTTGTAACATGTAACATGGTTAGTACAAATTTTCAAGTTTTGTAAGTGCAAAATTACACTGGATTTCAAACACAGTGTGAAAAAAGAATGTAAAATATCTTGGTCATGATAGTCTTGTTACATGTTGAAATGACAGTAATTTAACCTGTTTCTTTTTATTTTTTCAATATAGTTAATAGAAAATTTAAGATTAACATATGTGGCTTTCTGTTGAACATCACTGATTTCTTAGCTTCTTGGAAGACTTTATAAGTTTATAAGCAGAAGGGTTTTTGAGCTGGAACTTAAAAGAAAGGAAAAGTAGCTCCTATGAAGCTGAGTGTTAGAATTGGTACTCAGAGTAAGGACTGAGGATTTTAAGGTAGTGAGTCTACCAGTCTATTTGACAGATAGGAGAAGTACTTAGAAATTATATTAGAGATAAAAATATTAGACCTGAGTTTGAGAGAAAGAGAATGCCAGGCTGAGGAACTCAAAGTGTGGTAGGTAAATTTTGCCTTTAAAATAAGTGATGGAAAAAAATTAAGGTGCGACGGAAACAAGCTTTGACTTGTCATATAATTTAGAAAATCTGAAGATACTCATAGTGCTGGCTTTGTGGCTATTTCACTTCCCACACCCAACTAAACTTTCTTTTCATCACATATAACTATATCTTTATGTAGAATAAAAGAATATTGGGTATATTTCAGACAATGTCCTCTCATGTCTCATTATTTTTCCATTCTTTCTTATATCCTGCAGGAGAAGATGCTGTAGAGGATGATGCAGAAGAGAATCCCATTGTCTTAGAGTTTCAGCAGGAAAGGGAAGCCTTTTATATAAAGGACCCAAAAAAGGCTCTCCAAGGTTTCTTTGACCGAGAAGGTACGTAAACAGTTTCTGACTTAACAGTAAAATGAACTTCAAACTTAGAAATGCTTTATTTTATTTGCTGTCTTCCTTGTTCAGTTCTTGCCCTTATCGTCAGTTGCTTCAGGCTTATTTTTGGTTTATTGGTTGGTTGGTTTGTGATGCTGGAGATTGAACCCAGAACCTCATATATGCCAGGCAAGTGCTTTACTACTGAGATATACCCCCAGTCCCAGGTTTATTTTGAAAATAATAAAAAATCTTGTTAGTTTTTCTTCCAATCTTAGAAAAAGAAAGTACTTTTTTCTTAACTCATTTCATTCTTCTTAAAAGATCTTGGACTTTGTTGATAGGGAAATTGAGCCAATCCCTTATAATTTTTTGTTTCTAATGCACCTGATCTTCATAGTTCTTAACATGGATTTCAACTTAATGTGATTTTAAATGTTTCCACAGAAGATTGTTTCAGTAGAGGTACTTTAAGAGAACATCTAGGGGCTGGGGGTATGGCTCATCGCTAGAGCGCTTGCCTCGCATATGCAAGGACCTGGGTTCGATCCTCAGCACCATATAAAAATAAATAAATAAAAGTTATTGTGTACAACTATTAAAAAAATAAAAATAAAAAGAGAACATCTGTGTATATTTATATGTGTGTTATGCATATATGTATATTATTTTACATGCACATGAACACACATACACAGAGTCATTCCTGTGCATCCTCAGGGATTGATTCCTCCTCATCAGGATACCAAAATCCAGTGATGCAAGTGGCATGGTATTTGCATATAACCTACTCCCAGCCTCCCATGTACTTTACATCATCTCTAGATACATACAATATCTAATATGTGTAAATGGTTGTTATACTTATTGTTTAAGTAATAATGACAAGAAGAACAAGTCTACATGTTCAGAACACAATTTTTTTCCCTCTGAAGATTTGCAATGGATTGAATTTTAATAATATGATATATAATCGTGTGTGTGAGAGAGAGAGCTGGTTGCTTTCTATACTTAATATTTATGCTTCTAAAAATGAACTGCAACAAAAGAACTTAAATCTACAACTTATAGAAAGTGTGAAAACTACTATGGAGTGAACAAAACTGTGTATGGAGAATTGGTTTATTTTTGTTTGATTTTTAGTGGTACTAGGGATTGATCCCAGGGCCTTGCATATGCTTAGCATGTCATCTATTGCTAAGCTGCCCACCCCCCTAGCCCAAGTTGATTGTTTTGATATGAGTTTTCGTTCCTCTGTATCATGCTCATTCTAGTTTTATTATCAGATGGTAATCCCTAGGAATGAGAAGTAAAATGTATTGAAATTTAGTATTCAGTGTGATATGGAAATTTGATTTCCTCA